GAAGAGGCTCTTCCTCAAGTTGCATGTTACCCCCTCCCTCTGTTGTCTTCATTTAGTGAAGCTTAATAGGAAACACCATGCTCTTCTTTGAAAAGAAAACGCAAGGTTTTTAAAAAATAAATGCTTTGAGAGGAAAATTGAAATTGACAGGAGCGGGTAGTTTCTAACTTCGTTGAATAAGAAACCTCTTTAATTTCAGTGACGTTTATAGACCCTGTCATGATAGTGAACTTAGCCTTTCAGCATTTGGGCTTTCTGAAGGGAAAGAAGCTAGTTTTAGACAATACAGGGATGGTAGAGCTGCATCCAGAGTATGAATTCGATAAATACTGATTGACTCCTGCATGTCATATTAGTACATAAATCAGGACACCCACTATGTTTATAAAAAAGAAAGGTGGAATGTGGTGTTAGATTCATTGTTTACTAAACATCAATGATAAGCTCAGGCTGAAAATAAAATCTCTGACCCTGCATTATAACAAGAAGTTAGGTACATATTGACAAAAACCAACAAGAGTGTTGATATGGCCTACAGGTGAAAAATAGTAAGGATTGATGGGCTTCATTGAGAAAAACTTAAAGTAGATAAGACTGAGCTTGGTGGTGAAGGACTGTAATTCCAGCTACTCAAGAGCATGAAACAGGAGGGTTCCAAGTTCAAGGCTTCTCAGTACAATTTAGTGAGACCCTGTTGCATAATAATTTAAAATAATAATAATTTAAAAATAAAGAAAAAAAGAAGGCCAGGATTTTAATGTAGTTCCTTAGTACAGGGTTTGTATAACATGCATAAAGGTCTTGGGTTTAGTCCCTTCTATATGAACATAGGCAACAACAACAACAACAAAAACAGACTAAGAATGACTCAATCCAGAGAGACATTGAGAAGCCCTGAGGTATACACAGGTCTGGCATGTTCCAGGGGCTACAAAGAAACCAGTGTAGCCTAACTGACTTGATGCAGCTGCAGAAAACCAGGATCATCTAGGGCCTTGTAGACTGTGCCACAAGCTTGCTACAGATCAAGCATGCATGGAAATAAAATATGCCTGGCAGTATGAGGAAATAATACACAATTTATTTTTGGGGTTTTTTTGTTTTGTTTTTTGTTTGTTTTTGTTTTTGTTTTCTCTGTGTAGCTTTGCGCCTTTCCTGGAACTCACTTTGTATAGACCAGGCTGGCCTCACACTCACAAAGATCCGCCTGCTTCTGCCTCCCAAGTGCTGGGATTAAAGGCATGTGCCACCATTGCCCGGCTACTATTTATTTTTAACTACATTTTTAAAAGCATTTTGGACAGGGGTTGGGGGCGGGGTGGGATTCATGCATGCCATAGTATGTGTGTAGAAGTCAGAGAACAATTTGTGAAGGTTGGTTGTCTCCTTCCACCATGTGGATTCTAGGATGCACTCAGGCCACCAGGCTTGGTGGTGAGCTCCGTTACCCACTTTCAGGCCTTCCTTTTTTTTTTTTTTTTTTTTTAATATTCTAGATTTTTTTAAACTTGTTTGTTTATTTACTATGTATACAGTGTTCTGCAGGCCAGAAGAGGAGACCATATATCATTACGGATGGTTGTGAACCACCATGTGGGTGCTGGGAATTGAACTCATGATCTCTAGAAGAGCAGTCAATGCTCTTAACTGCTAAGCCATCTCTTCAGGCCCCAGGCCTTCCATTTTTAAATGGATTGCCTATACACTGTGGGAGGGTAAGGCATTGGGGGCTCATGAATCTAAGGTTTATTTAGGATTTGATCGAAATACACAGGGATGATGGCTGTATACCTTTGAAAAAGTAAAGAAACTGGACCCTTTGATAATGGGGGAGATTTTGATAGTTTATGAATCCCATCAGTACGAACATGACAAAATTGATGCTTAAAGCTTGCTAGAATCATTTCTTGTTGCTGCTTCATATCATCAGACACTTTTTTGCCTTTAGAAATTCAGATTTCTAACTAGATATGTCTTAACTGGAGGAAACTGCCTAAGTGCTGTTTGCTGTGTTTCACTGGAAGTAGTAAGATATCAGTTTATTTTTAAGTCTATTATTACTGACAGATTACTGCCATACTTTACATACTCTATCTACATACATGTTGAGTAGGATGTGAAAGTGAGATAGTTTTTTTAATTATTTTATGTTTACCAGTATTTTGCCTGTACATATGTCTCTGCCTGTGGAGGCCAGAGAGGGTGTTGGACCCCCAGAACTAGAGTTGCAGATAACTGTGAGCCACCACATGGGTGCTGGAAATTGAACTTGGGTCCTCTGGAAGAGCAGAAAGTGCTCTTAACCACCAAGTCAGCACTCCAGCCACGATGATGAGATATTTTAACCCCTGGTTATCAAAAATGAATGTAGTTTTTAGGCTGAATTCTGATTACTTTGCTAGACTAACATTTTTTACATAATTTATTTGGTGGCTCTTTGATATGTTGGAAAATCAGACCAATATGGCAATGACCTTCAAATTATGGGCTAAAGCCTGCAAGCGAGAATGCCTTTGTTCATTGCATTGACCAAAACCAAAGCAAACAGTCCCCCTTCCGGAAGACAGTCTTTTCTAATAGATGTGGAGCAGGAAATGTATTCAGCTAGGGTTTGGAGGGTTTGTCCTTGCACAGTGTTTTAGATTTAACGTTTTCTAAATTCTTATTCTATGACAACCTAGTAAAATTGACTGAAATATTATATGGCCATGTTGTAATCTTTCTCATTTTCCAAGTAACCTTAAGCAGTTCCCACTAAAAAGACAATTACTGAGTATTACAGCTCTATTTGGAGTAAAATAGGAACTCTTCTATAGCAACCTGGACTCGACTCACTTCTCTTCTGAACTCTTTGTCACTTTGAAAGAACTCCTCAAAAAGCCGTGGAATAAGCTGTCAAAGATGTTACATTTTCAAAATTCTGAAAGCTCCTACTTCAGAAAGCTGTGGTAACTCACATTTCTCATTTACCCAAAAGTCAGCACCCTAGGAAAGAATTAATCTGCTTTTACTTCATTGTTCAATCTGAATGAGTATACTTAGAGGTTGATTAAATATTTTTTCTTTTGACCCCGGGAAAGTATGTCCAAATCCTTAAGTAATTACATTCTTAATACAAACATCTCTCATTTTTCTTACAATAGGGCACAGGCAGGGTAGCTTTCACATCCCTGTGGTTTTCGTTTGTGTGATGGTGACTCTGAATTCAGCTCTAAACACTTCAGTCACATAACTTAGCCTGCTTAGTTTAGAAAGCACAATATTTCAGAGTAGTTTATTCCATAAAACTGCATTTTTTGATGGCTTGAGAGAATATTTGAAGTATTGAAAAAAGCCTATACTTTGGAGAATAGCGTTTAATTGGCAAATTTGATTTCAAATGATATGAAGAAGTTAAAATGTATTTCTGATATTTTAGTGAGGTAAATGTAGAGCTCTGATATGAGTGGCTATGACCTTCAGAGAAGATTGTGAGAACCCAGGTGCTTTGAGGACTTGTGCCTGACACACACAGTTTCTGTGGACCCAAAGTGGGTGCCCCTTGGTCACTCCAGTGGACTCGTTGCCGGTTCTCTAAAAGCATGGCTTTGTCACTTCTTGTGGCAGTACTGCTGCCTCTCTGAGTCTTAGTCAGGGTTGTTTGATTCAAACCTCGTTCTGGGGGTTTGGTCATGAACCTGTGTGTACATAAGGACTGTACTTAAAGGGAAAGTCCATTATTTCAGCCTTCAGGACTGCGAGTCACGTGAGGTCTAGTTACCCTCACTTCCAATGTTTGCCTTGACTCCACCTCAAGTTAGAGAATAGGGTTGTTTGGACAGTTGGGAGTTTCATTGTTATTTTAACACACTTTTCTCACTAGATATTCTTGGGGATTCTCAAACGTTCTTTCACTACATGAAAATATGCTGTTCAATTTTTATTCATTTTTAAAATCATGTTGGTTGTATTTTTACGCCAGATTGAGAATTCTAGGATAATAAAGCAAAATGGAGAAGATTCTGCAAATAGAGTGATGAGAGATTAGATTTACGAAAAAGTAAAAATAACATGAAATTGGTATTGAAAACTATGTGTCCCTGGTACATGACAAGCCGAGAACTCAGTATATATAGGAATTTAGCAAGGGACACTTTTAGTCAGTAGGGGAAGTGAAGAGTGCTCAAAAATCATGTGGAGGCCATTGAGTAAATACAAGAGAAATTAGGTTGGATTGTTGTTCCTTATATTGAAGTAATTTCTTACACTGGATTGTAAAAAATTTAAAACACTAGATTTTAACTTGTATATCAAATTTGAATTTTAATATTCAGACATTTGGAATTTTGAACAAGTTCAGAGAACATAAAAGCTTTGGTTTTCTGAAAAAATTCACTAATGCTTTTTACAGTTTGTATCATTCTTAATTATATATTATCCATAAATGAATGATTTATTTACTTCAGCAAATATTGTATAGTGTTGCACACTTGAAGTATGTAACTGATCTACATATTTTTCTAAAATAGAATTTTTGAAGTTATATTATTACAGAAGTTTTGTTAGAATTTCTATTTTTTAAGCTTTTTATTGTATATTCACTAGATTGTTAGTAGATGTATATTACTAGCACTTTTTAAAACATTTGCATGGACTGAATATTACCAGCCTTGAGTCTCTAAACTAAAAAATTAGTGACTAAGGACAGTAAAGTTCTACTTTTGAAAACAAGTTTGCTTATATGGCTTTGTATGGTTCTCTAATATATGCAAAGAAGCTTCGCTCTGTTCCTCACTAGCTTTTCAAAGACAACTTCATTTCTTCCAAAGGAGTAAAAGCTTAACTTCTAAATCAGTATAGCCTGCTAAATGTTGATGTGTTAGAGAGCCTTGCATTACATATGTGTTCTCTAAATATGGCAAAGCTTTCCTGTCACCATGCCTTTCCTTGCCCCATGGAGCCTCAGAACTCAGGAGTTAGTGTTTGTAATGTCTGTGCCTTTTGTCTTCACTTCTCTTTAGGGTCAGTATAGACCTTCTGATTTGCTGTGTCCTGAGACGTATGTCTGGGTTCCCATCGAGCAGTGCCTCCCTTCTCTTGACAACTCCAAGTACTGCCGTTTCAACCAGGACCCACAAGCAGGTATGTCTAGAGCAGAGCTCAGCAGGACCTCTTTATCCTTTTTGTGGCTCTTTGTAGTTTTTCATATAGTGTACACTGTGTGCAAATATCACTCTGTGTGTGTGTGTGTGTGTGAGAGAGAGAGAGACAGAGAGAGAGAGAGAGAGAGAGAGAGAGAGAGAGAGAGAGAGAGAGAG